GTAATTATTCTTTTGCCTTTAAAATTACACCAGCTTACGTGGACCACGCTTTGGGTTTCCTCCCATTGAGTAGCTCGATAATTTCTCGTTTTACCAAATCTAAAAGCAGGTTAGAAGACAGGTGTAGGCAGGATTAGGACTGCCGCGTGCCCTCAATTTCTCAAGCATCTTTACCAGACTATTTTTAGATATCCCTGCTTCCAGACATTCAGAGTCCTGGCAACAACCACATCCAGAGCCTGGTGAGAGGTACTGCGCCAAGAAAATATCTATACTGTCTATGTCCATCAGTTGTTCAAAGATACGTTAAGCTTTAGTCATCAAATTATGTTCTTTATTATTTAGTCACGGCACCAAATTTAAAGACTGAGATGATTGCTTACACATTTGATACTGAAGAGTTCTTAGTTTCTGCACTTCTAGAGAATAGAAGAAAGTAGAAATTAAACCAGTGTGGCTTATTGAGAAGTTGCTTAAAACTAAGCACGATATGTTCTTTACATCATTGCATCTGAAAGATTCTTTTGTTAACCATTACCTAATTACTATATGGTCCTTTCTGTAATGCTTGCTTTTTCTCTCCCAATATTTGAATAACTTATCAAATAGATTATTCTTTCTTCATATCTTAATTACTGTAAATATTTTCACCTCTGTTTTCTCGCATGCATTTGTCTTACTTCTACTGATGAATGAAATACTTGGTAATATTTGATTTCCATTACAAGACTTTTTTCTTTTTAACCTCAAATGCTCCCTCAGAAAACTCCGTAGAATGTTTTTCCTGTGTCAGAGTCAGTGTTTGTGCGGAACGTTAGTCAGACAAGCAGGGGATATTCAGGGAATGTGCTGATGTCTGTGGCACTTTCCTCTCTCGTACTCTCATGTGGTGAGTCTGATTTCTGCTCTCATTTGAGCAGCAATCGTGCCTGGGAGAGGCAGTTGTTTTTAAGGTGTTGCTAGAGAGGTGCTCCCCAAAAGGGAAAAATCCACACACATACACTGGCAAAAACATGTATTGGTAGAGAACCGAGGAAGCTGTTACAGGTGGGGAGCTGGACTGTAGGGCGGGGAAAGAGAAGGAACCCAAAGTAGAAAGAGGTGTGTATTTTATAGGCCATATTGTACTTCTGCAGTTTAATTGATGGAGAAGATTCACATATGCAAGGCTGAACAAAAACTGGTCATGTCTTAGGAAGTGATTAACGGCTTAGACATTTGTTCATCTGTTTTCTACATAGCTTCAAAACGTTCATTCTCGGTTTATATTATATACTGTGATTCTGATGTTATCAGAATGTGGATACATTTGTCTTCCTTTCATCAGTAAATCAACATCCCTTCAACTTCTGCTGTAGAAGGAGCTAATTTGTCAAATTTTGGCAGCAGGTATCCAGTAATTTTGTGTTGCTTTTTTCCTCGTGTGAGTTTCATTAGTACTTTTTTTTCATATAGTTGCATTTAAGTCTGCATAAAAGAACTTGTAATGTTCAGAGATTTCAGAGAATTGTGGCACTGTGAAAGACTGGGGTTTTTTTAAAGATTGAAATGTGATGACAAAAGAAAACAGATGTTGTTTTATTATTAAAATGTCCTACAGTGCTCTCTACTGGAAGAGTGGAAGTCTGTTAAAGTCTGTTAAATATTCAGAAGTGCAGCTAAAATTATTTCTTAGTCAAGAGCTAGGTTTAATGATTTTTTTTTTTTTTTTTTTTTTTTTTTGGACACTGATAAAACTAAGTTTTCCTTTGGGTGGATGGGGTTTTTTTATACTCCCTGTAAGTTCTGAAGACAAGCACCTGGATATACCTTGCACATTAAAAAAGCAGAATGTTTAGAGCTGAAATGTAAGCTAACGGGGGAAAATTACTGGAGATTGCCTTGTTAACGGTTCACTTTTTTCCTTGCCATTAACCTTAACAATTCACGTGGCCTTACTAAGAGCCACTGGGCATGTGATGACAGCAATAGACTTGTCCGAACTGTAAAGGTTTCTGAATGCCTGAAGTTGCCCTACATTTGAATTTACATTTAATTGAGCCAGCAAAGTAAAGTAAAAAAGGCTTACTTTTTCATCTCTTTTCATAGTTCTCCAGCCAAAGTACAACTTAAAAAGCATTTTTAATAACTTCACTATGGAATTGGACAGAAACATGTCTCGCTCAAGTTTTAAATGCATAGGAAAACTTTCAACTACACTCTGAAGGAAGAGGTATTCCCCACAAAGGGTCTGTTTACTAGTTTACTAGTCTGTTTACTAGAAGATGTCCCTGCTCAGTGCAGGGGGGTTGGACTAGATGATCCTTAGAGGTCCTTTCCAGCCCAAACTATTTTATGATTATATGTATAGTTCGTTGTCTAAGACAGCCTTCCTGACCGTTACGAGGTGGAATTATTCTCCCAGTCATTGTCAATGATGAAAGTTCTGTTGATTCTAATATGATGAAATAGAGTCTGTTAATTCTCCACAGCTGCACTATCTTGCAAATCTTTGCATGTGGAGTGAGCACATCTGGCTGTCTGCTAAATATTCGATTATAAACAGTTTGATCTGAGGTGTTTGTCTTGTATATGGCTGGTCAACAGCTCACTTTCTTAATGGCAAACATCAGCGAGGGAAGAATAAGCCTTAATATACTTTAAAGGAACAGTTAAACTGTTTCGAGTGATAAGATCTGTTGACCTCATAAAAGATTTCTGATTATAGACAGCTGCAAGTGAGATCAGAGTGAGTGACATATTAGAAAAATAACCTTTCA